ATACAGTATTTAGGTTGCAACTTAAATATTTAGGTATCCACCGAAATATATTTATGTTTGTGGTTGTAATGTGACAAAATATGGAAAAGTTCAAGGGGTATGAATACTTTTGCAAACCACTGTAAAAACTTCCATCGCCGCACAGTTTGCAGCAACCTACACTCACAGAAAGAGACGTAAACACTTTGGCACCCACCATCGAATCCTGTGACCCGGAGGATCTCTGAGACGTAAACGGCGATGACGTTCAGGCCGCTGGCTGCTCCCTCGGCCAAGAATCGGATCACCGTTTCAAAAAACTGTGGGAGGGACAGGACTCGTTTGACTCTGTTATCTTACACGGCAACAATGAAGAGAGACAGCATTCTGATCGTGCAGGGGCAAACGAAGGGAGCGTTGCAGGCAGCAACAGGATCACTGACTGCAGCGCAAACCCATTAAAACAGGGAATTCTGGCTTTGAGGGCGGCACCTCTCCATAAAAGAGCTGCTGTGTTGCAGAGTTAAGGGCGACAGCTGGAAAACACCACACTCTGTTCCTTTAAAATGTCCCCCCGCTAACAACAACCCCCTGCCTCTAGCCTTGTCTAGTGTGGTCAAGGGTATCCCAGTAAGCTACACTGGGATCTTATCTGAACCTGTCACACTGCACACAGACACAAGGACTGTCCCGTGTTGAAGCAAGAGTCAAACATCTGACACTCCATAACAGTGGCTGCATGGAGCTTAAAGTCATCTCCATAGGTTTAGGGCTTTAGTGATGGAGGAGCAGCTTAATGTCAGGCATTAAAACAGAAAACCTACCTTGAAAGTGATTCTTTGAACAGAACAGACATAAGAATTTAGAACTAGAGAAAATGCATTTTTCTATGAAAACGTAGTGTAAGTGCGGAGTGTTAAATGTAATAAGTTAATAGTGAAATAGTACAACCCCAGTTCCAATGAAGTTGGGATGTTGAGTAAAACATAAATAAAAACAGAATACGATTTGAAAATCGTTTTCAAYCTATATTCAATTGAATACACTAGAAAGACAAGATACTATATGTTCAAATGGATAAACTACTGTTTTTTGCAAATATTCCCATATTTTGAATTTTATGCCTAAAATGTCCCAAAAAAAAAATGGGACAGGGGCAACAAAAGACTTGGAAAGTTGAGGAGTGTGTAAGTAGTAGTTCTTTTGTTAGTTTTAAAATAATCTTAAAAAATATCTTAAACCTATTCAGTGTTGCAATCACAGAATTGCACTGGGTAATCGATTTTAGAGTTTGCTTTTGGTTTGGGGGAGTTGAAGGTTTTTTTTGTTCAATGTTTAGTGATATAACTTTTTAATTGTGTTTGGACAGTGGCGTGGGGTGTTTACGTATTTTTTATTATTGATTGCAAAATGTTTTATTTTGTATTGTTTTTATTTTTCTGTTATTTTTTTTCTTGTTTTTATTATTGTCGGATGCTGTTTTGTTTTTATTATTAGGAGGACTGCAGATGTAAACTAGCCTTAGGCTAAATCTGGTGCAATGCATCAAATGTTTTTATGTTTATGTTTTAATTGCACATTGTCCTCATAAATAAAATTCATTCATTCATTCAAAAACACCCATTTGGCATAGGTTAATTGGAAACGGGTGAGTGTCATGATTTGGTCAACCTCTTTGGATGTTTCACAAATGTTTTATTCATATGAAGAAATTACTTATTAGAAAAGTGTACTTCAAAGTCTAAAGTCTGCAGCACCCTTTTCCTGAATGAGTTGAATGTTGATAATCAAACGACAAAGTGTGCAAAAGTACTTAGATCATWAAAACATGAAACAAAATTTTAAAGCAGGAAAATGGTGAGAGTGTTGATGCAGCGGCCACACTGTTAATGTGCATCAAAGACAAGGATCCAATTCTGAAGAGAACGGTGAATTTATTGCTGCAACGTTATCTGGAAGACCTTGAAGAAATATTATACTGCTGCAGTTATTTTACAAGGTGGAGATCAGTGTGCAAAATTGCTGCTTTTGCTTTATTTTAAAACAAAATTATTCCTATATATATATATTCCATKTTATCCGTTTATGAGTCAAGTTCGGTCATAGGGAGGTTTTTACACCAAATGGGAGTTAAATATGGAGTCTTTTTCTGTGCCACGGATTGTTACACACACCCTGCATGTTGCCATCTGAGTCACAGTCAGCTACTTATTACTTTACCAGCACATTAGCAACCTTATCTAAACAAATTCCCCGGGTTAAAAAAGCTGCAGCCTAGCATGCAAATAACACAAAYGTGCTTCTACATTCTGCTCTAACTACAGGTGAGACATGGGCCTAAACGGACCCCCGCCCCTCCCACCCAGGACAACATGTTGAAGACACCCCGGGAGGTTCCTTACCATGGCCATTGTTTGGACGTTCTCCTGACCAAGCAGTGACTCTAGAAACAGCACTGCRCTCTGAGAAGGGATGGAATGGAAACAGAGATGTGGGGGTGGGGGTGCGTGTGTATGCAATGGGTGTGTGTTGGGGGGGGTGGGATATAGAAGAAACGAGGGCAGAGAAGATGCAGGGATCAGGAGGAAGATTAACAAGTTAAGGAGAGCAGAAAGAAGAATGTGTGTGAAGGGTGAAGGAGTGGATGGAGAGAGGCGACAGCTGAAAGTTAGTTTTGATCCAGACAGTTAGAAAAACCAAGAATTAGGGCTGCACAATATAAATAAATGTATTATTGCAATATCGACGTGTATCGAGGGCTACAACAAATCGCAAACACCAAATGTACGGCAACAACATACAGTATATAACAATCTGATGGACCCCTAAATGCTTTGACGCAAAGAAAAGGAAACATAAACACACAAAGAAAGTTTTTTATGTTTCACAACATTAAGGTAAGATTAGCTGTATTTGTAAATTGTTAAATACTTTGGATATTCTTTCAGCCAGATGTGTCACTAACATTGGTGCTTAGTATATGGAAAGGAAAATATTGAGTCTCTTCGACATCATCCTTTATCTAGAATCGTCAGCACAACCTTTGATCTTATAAACTTAAAGGAATGTTTAGACCTGTTTTAGACAAAAAGCGCTCTTTTTTAAATGTTTTGTAGACTTTTGAAAATGTACAGCAGAGAGCTTCTTTTAACTTTCCTCAACAGTCATTACCAAAATGCTGGTTTCCAATTAATTATTTAAATCAACGTGTTTTTGTTGGGACGTCAAGTTGACATGGCGTGTTGAGCCTCGTTTCATGTGCTGATGGGATTCCCAAAGCTGGGTTCAGCATCCCATTGTGGGTCACGATGCACCAAGCAACGGTCCCCAATTGAGCTTCAGAAATCAAAAAATCTGTTATTAAAATTTAGGTTTTGTTTTACTCCTTGTTGGTGCTGCCCCTGGGATTGGAATCTTAAAGCTATAATACAGTATTTGAAATATGTATAATGTCTACCACTTACTTTGTAATACAAGAGAGAAGCAGGGTCATGTTTTGTTGCCAAATATTACAAAACATCTGGATAGTCTTGGAGCGTGATGGATATAAACCAGGGGTGCCCAAACATTTTCCCTGAAAGGGCCAAAATTAAAATCAATCTGAGGGCGGTGGGCCGAATGCAATAATATAATACACAAAATGTAAATACTTCAAGTAAAGTTGTATTTTTTTATGATTAAGCTAGCAGCCAGTGCAGTTGCCCACATTTTTTTTTTTTTTCAGCCCATGGACATGGAGAAAATTCAACGTTTGCTCGGGCAGCAAAGGCTCATGGGACTTTCCATATTTTTAAAATGTGAGTATATGGGGTCTTATAAGGTGTGCAAATCTAGATATGGACTTAAATCTAATATAAATGTATCTTGAAGTTATTTGTATTTTAAGTTTAATCTTAACATAATTCAAAGATAAAGTGAGCACCATGAGTTAAGACTATCTGGCTACAGCTCCTTCTACCTATAGTTGGACCAATGTTTGAAAAGACTAAGTGGTAGGGTTGGGCAATATTGGCAAAAAAATAAATCACGATTAATTGTGKTATTTAGCCGATAACGATTAATATGACRATTAATCCCCTGGTGTCCCTTATATTCTAGTCACATGACCAATTTAGTGGGAAAGATTTGCTCTTCACAAAAATCTGTTCCAAATTGTGTCAAAATTACTTCAGGCACATTTGTAAATTGTGTTGATAGATAAATTACAGAACTTTTTTTTAAATATTCATCATATTTGAAGCAGAGAGGAGCAACGAGTGGACTCTGCCTGCTGACATTAATCGTATTAATCGTCAAGTGCCAAAAAGTAATCGATTAATGTTTTTCTGACGATTAATTGCACATGATACGGTTATGCCCAACCCTACTGAGTGTAAATATAGTTTTTCTACATAAGACAGGAGATTACAATCTAATAACCAGGACAACTGCTAGTGGGCCAAATCAAATGGCTTGGCGGGCCAAATTTGGCCTGCGGGCCCCACTTTGGGCACTTCTGATTTAAACAGTCAGAGGGAGCAGGACGAAAGCATAAAGCTAAAGTTCTTCTCTCTTCTATGAAAAGAAATGGCGACTAATGATGTGAGGATGAGAGTCGACAAGTAGGGTAATTACGGGTAGAAAATGGCATGGTAAAGAGCCATAAAGCTACAGTTGGCAATAAGAGCATATAAAAATTAGCTGAGATATTCTGTACTCTGATAAGTTTCAGTTACATTTACCCACAAACAATCAGTGAATGATACAGAAATTGTTTGAATAATAAAAAAATGAAAAACACTGAAATTTTGTGTATTTTGACAGATATCAAGGCCTTAAAAGCTTAGAAATAACTGATTCAGATCATAAAGGCCAAAATGTGGAGCACATGGTGAGTAATAGGAGTACCATGTTGGCAGAAGTGAAAGACAAAAAAGAGAAGTGTTTTTTTTTTTAAAAAGTTGGTTTATTACATCTGATGTCATCGCAATATTTAAAAATATCGCGATTATTTGTTATTTCCCCTCCAAATATCGTGCAGCCCTAAAGAAACGCGTTCAGAGCGAATAAGGCAGGAAGCATATGGAGACCAGTGAGGAGCTGCAGTGTACCTCAGCGGCGGATCGGATCACGTTGGTCCCCAGAACCGACTCGGCGTACCGCTGGAGCTCCTGGCAGGTCCCGGTGATGACGGTGCGCAGCGTGACCACCGGCGGGCTCTCGGACTCGGCCCGCTCGGTTTTCGCTCCGGCTCCGGAGCCGCTCAGCTCCACGAGGAGGAGAGCCAGCGCGGCGCAGGTAAAGAGCCAAACCCGAGCCATGATGTGTGGAAGGAAGAGGGAGGAGGAGGTGGAGCAGCTTTCAGGCTCGGAAACAAAAAATAAATAAAAAAAGATCAAAGACTTAAAAATGGCTTCTGTTGGCGGGAGGAGACGGAGAGGATTCAAACCTGCACCTCAAGGAGAGAAATGTGAGAAAATAAGACTCCAGATGATTCAAACATCCGGTTTGGTGACTGGTTTAAAAAAAAAACGCGTTGGTCTATAAAATCCCAGTCAGATGTAAATGATCGGATCACCTCTCCTTTTAAACACGGACTATATTTAGTCCCAGCAGGAGTCTAAATATAAAGATCTGATCTGCAGCGAGCATGCACAGTTTACATGAAGAAAAAATATTTAAAATATAACAAAAAAAATATGTAAGAATGGACGTGAAAAAGCGGCGGTGACGCTGCAAACCTTCAATTTAAATCTTCTTTAATTTGCTCCGAGCTGCACAAGGCGCCACTTTTAGAGCTCCTTTAGTCTCTGATCCTTCATCAGAGGCTCTGCTGAGGAGGATTATTTTAAAATGTTCACAGAAAAAAGAAAAATGGGGGAAAAAATGTAACYCCTCCTTGCTGGTTTCCACTCCCTTCCTTCCAGCGCTCTGTTTCCATCCGCGACTGGATCTTCAGGAAGGAGGGGGAGGGACGGTCCAGGAATAAACACAGAAATGCATCATGGGACTTGAAGTGTAATTACTTCAACCGCCTTCATAACTGGGGTTTAAACCTTTTATTAAATCACGAACTAATAATTTTAAATTTAAACCTTGAAAGTACCGCCATGCAAGATCACGTGCGATATCGCGAGATGCTAATAAAGCTTAATTGTTTCCATCTTGAACTATTTTGACCCCAAAAGTTAGTAGCAGTGATTATGTCCTGAAAAGTTCATCACGTGGCTCATGTGATATTTTGCTAACAAGGCTCTATACTTAATGGCAACAACGTTAACAAAGACATTACTGCTCAGAATATGTTTTATAAAACTGACCCAGTTACATCATTTCTGTTTTCTAAAGTGAGTTGGCTGCGGCTGCCATCTTGGATCAGGTTGACTAATCCATCGTAGCACGTTTCATTCAAATTCATTCATTAAATATTTTGCTAACACACACACAAAATTGAGAGGAAAAAAACATTTGTCTGTTTTCATCTTTCAGGTGGTTGAGCGACAATCAGAAACGGCACAGTTTGAATATTAGTTTAATAATAACTAACAGAATATCTATTTAACCACAATGAACTAGAGTTCCTTTCTCTCTTTTGTTTTTTTTAAATGGAACATTTACAACAAACACTTGCATGAAATCTGCAGAACTAAAAGAAATGGGTTTTTGTTCTCTAGAAAAGCCTGTTTTTAAAATAACGCACAAGAAGCTTCCTTCAGTCTGTGATGAAACGATTCGTTCTGCTCCAATAAACACAAGTGAAGCTGTGGAAACACAGGAGCGCACATCAGTCATGCTTTTAAAAATATTTTTAAAGTCAACTTCAAGTCAACAATATCCTGTAAAGGACAGGGCAGGCCGGTCTGGCTCTTGCTTCAAACAGAGTTTGTCCACTTCTTGTTTTCCTGACCCTCTTCGTCCCGAGCGGACCGACTGGTCATGGATTTAACCGATGTAAATGCGATGGAAGTCGTTGGCTCCGAAGGCGGCGTTGCACTTGGGGCACTTCCTCTGGCGGGTGTCGTAGCGTGTCTTGACGCACTCGAAGCAGAAGACGTGGAAGCACTTGGTCAGGACGGCGTCCTTCACCCGAGAGTTGCAGCACGGACACGTCAGACGAGCCTGAGGGGGAGAAAACGTTTGGAACAATAAACTCTGAAGACGAGTGGTTTATAAGGATCAGCTGTAGATGTCTGGGAACAGCAGCTGGGCATAATAATGTCATAATAAAGACATAAACCTGCTGACTGCTTAATGGAACGAACATGGATTATTTGTACGTAAAACTCATTTTATTTAAAAATTTATTTACGAGTAAGAAAATTTAAAAAACCTGCTTTAACTACAGTGGACTAARTCAAAAAGAAGAGTGAAATGTGGAGCGAAATCAATAAAACAAATTAAGTTTGAACTTTTACACCCAGTAATCTCACCTTGTATTCACTAATTTCTTCATTCAGGATATCGTCTCCGTTGCTGATTTTCTCAGCCGGTTTCTTGGCCTTCTCAATCTTTATCCTGAGTTTGGAGATGTCYTCCTGTAAATCAAACGCACACAAAAAGATTCAATATCTGCAAAGAGAAGTCTGCCCAGCAGATTGTGCTGTTGCCTCAGTGGTGTGTGCTCATGACTAAATCCCTCACCCACAGTCGTTGACGTTTTATATTGTGAAGTTCAATTACAAAACAAAAGAGCTAAATCTTCTCAGCTGCTTCACTAATTAGAAGAGCAACGACATTAACATGCAACGTTATGCATTAATGGCAGGATATTTAACATTAAAAGTGGCCATCATAAACAACAAAAACAAAACAAGGAAGAGCATCTCATTAAGTTCAGGAGGAGAAACTGTAAAGGCTGATTTATWATCCATGAGGCAGATTTAACTACAAACTCTTCTCATTGACAACAGATTAACAGATTTATTTTTAAGTCTAGCAGTCTTTCTGGACTGGACATTTGACTATACTATAGAGAACTATCTATCACTCTTATTATACATTAATGCATCTTWTTCATAATCATCAACCTACGGTACACTGCTGCTGTCGTATTAATATTTAATATTCACTTTGCATACTGCTGTCMTATTGCTTTATTGTGAATAACACTGTAAAGAACACCGCACAGATATATCCTGGTATAGTGAAGTATAATGTGTATCTTTCTGTATATTCTGTACTATGTGTAAATTATATCTGTGTAGTGTTAATACTAGAGAAACACAAATAGCAAATTGTGTGGGTCAACATACTTGACCAATAAACCGGATTCTGATCCTGATTTGTTTTGCTTTTGTATACAAGTCAACCCACTGAGGTGTTTACCTGTATCTTGATTAGGGCTGCTACTATTAGTCGACTAGTCACGATTATTGTCGACTATTAAAATCGTCAACTAATTTAATAGTTGATGCGTTGTTGTTTTTTTTTCTAACTTTGTTTTTCTCTCCAAACTTCTGCAGCACCTTCCACTGCCGCGTCTGCCTTTCTGTCCTTGACACACATGCACAGTAGAGTGGTAATTAGGGCTGCCACAAACGGTTATTTTTATAGTCGAGTAATCGGTGATTTGTCGACTATAAAAAAATATAAAGTTAGAAAAGAATGATGCATTAACTATTAAATTAATCGTTGACATAATCGTGACTAGTTGACTAATCGTGGCAGCCCTAGATCCTCAAAAATTTGTAATTTTCACAAAAAATCCGCACTACTTACACGATACAGAACATGGGGTGGAGATAACAGTGTATGCGAGGAGATGGGGAAGGGTGGTGAACTTTAATTATATATTTTTWTGTTCTACAGGCTCTGAGATGTGAAATTAATTTGAAGCTGAGTTTATTTTTTTTAATCTGTGATTTCTCTATAAGTCGGTATCCCTGCAAAATGAGAGTAAATCTGTGTAATTTACAGACAAACTCTAAGTTGACGTGTATGAACACCTTTTTCACCTCAGTGTGAAACTGATGCTGTAACAATAAACACGCCGCAGCTCCAAGGTTCTTTGTGATTTCTGTGATTGTTACCTGAGCTCGTCGGGCGTTGAAGGACTCCTTTTCCCTGGAGATGCTGTTCTCGACCACCTCCTCTCTGACCAGTTTGAGCTTCTGCTGAACCTGCTCCAGCTGACCCCGCAGCTCCTCCGACTGCAGTGCAGACTCCTGAGCCTGAGGGACGAGGAGGATGTCTAAACCRTTCTGAAGAGAAGCATGGGTCTGACTCTGCTCAGCGGCTCGGGGTTACCTTGCGTTTGTTCATGTCCAGAGCTTGTGTTCGAAGCGTCAGCTCTCTCTCAGCAGTGCTGATGGTGCCCTGCAGGAGGCGCTCCTTCTCCTCCAGTTTCCTCACAACCTGCAGCTGCGCGTCCACCTGGACATAGGTGCAGCAGCAAAACACTAAACACTTCGCCAGAGRTCAACATAAACCTCAACAAAAACATATTAACAAAATAAATGAGGGAAAACTTTAATTTAAATGATYAAACATAAAATACAAAAATGATCTTGCTGCATCTGTGRTTTTTGTTGTTATTAAGGATTTAAAACATTTAAAACAGTCTGATAAATGACTGAAGGTTGCAAAGATTACTCTTTGAAACTTTGCTCCAACCTGAGTTTTTAACGTGAGGAGTTGGTCGGCGAGCTCCTCCTTCTCCTCTTTCAGCAGCTTGTGGATCTGGTTGGACTTGATCCGCTCGCTCATCAGCTTGAAGTTGGCGTCGTCCTTCTCCCTGAGCTGCTGCATGAGGCGGATGTTCTGTTCCTGCATGTCCTCGAAGGCCTGGCCCGTCACGTCCATCTCGCTCAGCAGCGCGTCCTCCTCCTGCGCAGAGGAACGAGCATGGAAGAACAGAACCGAGAGAGGCTGCCGAGCGGGAGAAAAAAAAAAAAAAACCAACAACGGGCAGCTCACGCACCTGTTTGGCTATGGACAGCTTCTTGTTGAGGATGTCGATCTGCTCCTCCACGGAGCGGATCTTCCTCAGGGCCTCTTCGTCGGCCATTTTCTTGCCCTCCCTTCTCTCCCTCTCCTCCAGCTCCCGCAGCCTCTGCCGCAGCTCCTCTGCCTAAAATCAGAACAAGATGTGTTACTTTCATGAGAACTCTAAAAACCACATCTAAATATACAATAAAGAATAGTTTCTTTGTTTTAAACAGAAATGAGTGCATCCTTCCAACTCGTTTGTTTAACTGAGCGGACATGATCACCTCTGACTTGGCCTTCTTCTCTGCAGCCATGAGCTGGACTTTGTCCCTCTGCTCCTTCGGTGCTGATCGGTACATGTCCAACAGCAGCTTCATCTCCCTCTGGGACTCCTGGGCTTTCCTGCACAGTTACAGTCAGAGTCTTACTATTTTTATAAAAACTTTCTCAAACACACACAAAAAATAAAGAAATAAATGGCTTCACACAGAAAGCAAGGAGATTGTGCAGCTGTAATAACTAATTTCAACAAAGTATTCTGATTCTGATGTGTGTGTGCATGTTTGTCCGTTAGCAAAATATCTCATGAACCAGAACATGGATTTTACTGAAACTCTCTAAATGTTGAACAGCTAATTAACTTTAGCAAACACAACAATGACCGTCATTTTTTCAGATATTGAGCAACAATTTAGCGTTTCCTGAATCTTCCAAAGAAAAAGCAAACACTTGTTTTTAAAAGTGTTTATCTTCCTGTTTGCAGCATTATGTCAGAATGTAAAATAAATCTRAACATACTTGAGCTCGGTTCGAACGATCTTCAGCTGCTCCATCTCCTTCCTCTTGGATCCTCCGACCACAGAGAGCCGATCTCCGRTTAACTCCTCCGCCTGGCTGCTGCTCCCCGGCTTCTCCTTCTCCTCCTTAATCATGCTGCTGCTGCCCCCGCTGCTTCGGGGGGGCCTCTCTCGGTCCTTTTCCTTCTCCCGTTCCCTCTCTTTCTCCTCTTTCTTT